TTATGTGAACATAAGTAGCGTACACAACACTTGGATTACATGTTTCAAAATCGTTTGCAATAGTGCAGGTGCATTCATTCTTCGTGGTCTCTCAAATCCTTACTGATTGATGTGAGCTAACCAGTCAAGGGCTAATACTACAAGATCTGACATACAGCTTTAATTCATACGGCAGTAGAGTAACCTTAAAAACTTTTACTATTCCTGCAATTGTGTAATTTGAACTGACCATGGCGTAGTGAAGTAATGTTCAGAAACGTAATCGCATGGTCACCAGTCACCACCAGTCATAGGTTCACATATAATTTGTTCTCTTTCAGAATGCTGGAAATCACGTGAACTAGCTGAACCCCCATCGAAATCCAAGAAAGAGAAAAACAATAACTAGACAACAGTCTTGTATTACTGTGGTGTGAGCTACTTATAAGTAGTATATGACGTGAGTGTCAACGTAATGTCTGGCTGCATAATATGGGGGAAGATCAAGAAAGGAAGAGTTAGAAAACAATGAAATTTGTATGAAACGCATGAATAGTGACAGTGGATTGATGTTTGGCAACAGGAACAGTCCAGTTCGATAGGATGAACTGATATTTTGCAAATGAACAATTTACGATAAGGTTTTCCGATTTTACTGAGTAACTCTGTAATTTTCGTTAAATACAATTCGGTTGCCCCATCTGTGTTCTCGTTCACTACATTACTACTATGTATCCACAACCAATAACAATAATTCGACTAGTGTAACCATGCTAATATCTGTGATTTGTGATCATGTCACTCCGAACGGCATGCATTTCGTGCGTTATCTGCTGACATTGTGATTCGGTAAAGAAAACAAGGGCAGTCAGTTGATAATGACACGGCACTAGGGTATAAAAGGTAACCGTATAGGAGCAGGAGCATGACCTTTGTTTTGTGGAGTAGGAGTAGGTTGGGAGAAAGCTAGGGGTCGCTAAACCAAAACATGACAAAAATGCATGAAGTCATTGACAAGTGGACTGGAGCATGTTGGAAGGTGTAAACTACCTGATTGGGGTCCACAAGACGATACTAACCGATTGTTGGAGACCTGGAATGACATGGCTCAAAATCGCTTGCAATAGCGCAGGTGCATCCACTCGTTGTGTTCTCTCAAATCCTAATCTTCTGCATTCGTCAACACCTCTACCTTTGTCTTTCTAAACTTATCTCACTGAACTATACTTCTTGAATATTATCTTCAGTTCCTAATCTTCTCCATTACCAGTAATACTTATACTATCTCTACCACTATGGGATTTGAATTGACAATTAGATCTCTGTGCTAATGTGGTATGGTAGCCTGAACTGATGTACTTAAGTACGAAGTTCTACGTTGTAACTGACTAACTGACTGACGTATTTTGTTAGTAAACTGCTTCTTCTCTAAATACTCTACTTACATACAACTAGTGTTAACGCCTATGTTCACCACCAGTAGTAGTAGTAATGAAGGCGCGGACAGGCGAACCAATTCAATAAAATCTACAACTCAAAACAGCTACCGACAACCAACTCCAAAGTCACATAGTTCAATACAAATATCAAGACACTTCTATTGTATGAGGCGAAAACTCAGAGAACCACCAAAGTTATCAACTACCTACTGCGGCAGATAACACATCAGATTAGGGCTGAAGAAGCCCTCAGTTGAAATCCTCAATGCCAATGAAAAAGAGCAGGAGTAAAAAGAATACATCACGCCGAGAATTGGAAGAAGACATGAGAAGAATGAACAGTGATTCGGTAGAACTAGATGGAAAGACCTAGAACAGAGTAGATTGGAGAATGTTGGTCGGTAGCCTATGCTCAGGTGTAAGAAATTAAACAAGCAGATTAAAAATAGAAGTAACAGTACGTTTCATATTCTATTGTAATGTATGCTGTACTAAATCTGGATGTGAGATACATACTAAGCCCCTCTCAGACTGACTACTTGAACGAGACAACCAAGGGTGGTAGAGTGGAAGTCTTCTTAACTACCGAATCATATAAATACACATTCATATATATATATATATATATATATATATATATATATATATATATATATATTCATCAATAAATGGTCTTCTCATATGGCCACTACTGATATTGCTACACTAAATCAATATTCCACTACTCTAGCTACGTCTACAACTCAACTGAGATCAACGTTACACACACACACACACACACTGAAAAATGGTGACACACACACAAAAAATTAATAAGAAATAAATTATTTAATTAGAATAAACTAGAATAATATATATAAAATATATAAATATCTTTTACTTGACATTAACAGCTTGTAAATCAGCGCGTAATAATTGTTTAACTTCTTTTTCAATTTTAGGCATATCAACAAAACGTTTTCGACGTGTTTTACGAAATCGACGATGTAAAACATTTTTCAACGGTGGTGTTATCCCATGAAGAAATTGAAATTCTCGATTTTCATGACTAAATTAGGGGGGGGGGGAAATATGCAAATTATAAACTGAATCAAGATAGCAGCATTACCATTGAAACTCAAAAATTTAAAAGGAGATAAAGCGTAAATTGATCTCATCAAATACTAATGAATGTCTACAACGATTGATCATCGTGACTGAGCACATTCTAACCATATAGTCTGCAACCACTACGATGGGTATGAGGGCGGTTGTCACTTCTCGGCTGCCCACACCGTGGAAAGTTGTTTCTTGAGGAACCTGAAAAGGAAGATAGATTAGTGTTGGTGCGTGACCGCAGAGCCCAAGGGACAACTGCTTGAGGCCGGTCACGCACGGCCTTTTTATGAAATGTTTTTTGAGGATTAGCTCCGTTCTTAAAGGCCCTTAGTGGGCACCCTTACCCAAGGAGACGGAAATCCGTGAGTTAGGGGAGGTGTGACATTTTTAGGGCCGACCTTTTCTAACCCTTCCTTCCTTGTGAGAAGGCAGCATCGCTGCAGATGCTGGTTGTCCGAGGGAAACACCTTACTGCTGTCACACCCCTCTGCAGTCAGCAGTACGACTTCGCCCTCAGACCTTGGGTAGCTGCTTTTAGTCTCATCGTTCTCCAATCGACCTGTCTGGCATGGTAGAACCTTGAGGAACATATGTTCCAGCCAGTATAGCTCGGTTGGGTCATCACGATAGGTAAGCCCGACCACCACGTCAAGGTAGCAGCTACGGTCGGGAACCACTACCATGACTGATAACAGATCTTAATTTGTTCTACCTCTCTCTATACGCGATAAAGAAAACACAGGAATGAAGTTCAGCTTGGCTGGACATTGAAATAAGATGAATAATATTTCTTTCAAAGGAATAGATGCGGTTGAAGAATCAAAAAAAATCTACAAATGATGATTCATTCTAGATCTACAGTAAGTGCAATAGCGTCCCTTCAATATCAGCCAACTTTCTAGGTTGCGGCAAACGATGGCTGGCCATACGCAACAGATGTCTCAACTAGCTGAGTTGATGAAGTTACACAATCGTATTTAATAATATTCTGAGTATAACCTCAGTATTGCTCACCACGCAGTCACAACATACATGACCAATGCTTTAGGGCATTTATGATCAAATGTTAGTAACCTAATGGTATAACATGGCTCAATGGGCTCAAAAGCATGCACAAAGGTTAAAAGCGAGATTCTCCAGCACCATATGACATGCATCAATCAAATCACATTTCACGGAGGCTTTAGGTGATGTATGAATAATCTCTACATATCTGAGCAGCATCATTGAATGCACATGTGAAGGCATGGATTGACAAAGCTACGGCAGTATTTCTACAATCGAAGAACATCTGCAACTCTAAACCCCTGTCGACCAACACCAAAGTCATAATTTTCAATACAAATGTCAAGACAGTCCTACCATATGAAATGGAAACTTGGAAAACCACGAAGGTCATTGTCCACAAGATACAGGTGTTTATTAACATTGGTCAACGCAGCAAAATACTTCGGATTCTGTTGTAACGGTTGCTTACGATATTTCCCGGCTAAATCTTATTGCTTAGTATTCTTGACACAAAACACTGGACAAGTAACACAAATCAAAACACGGTTGAACAGGAAGGATTGTATTCCAAAATAGCAAGGAATAAGAAGCTGGAGGTGATGGCGAAAGCCAAGGCAAAAAGGCTTGAAAGCGAAGAAGGCTAGAAGGCTTGAAGGCAAAGATAAATACAATGCTAGTCTATTTATAGCCTTTACATGAGAAAACTTCTGGAACAAAATTCACGTGATCGACTGGGCTGGATTTGACCAATCAGCATGCAGCTAATAATACGAGAATTTTCTATCCTGTTCTCCAAGCTTCGATCAGGCGCTGATTGAATAGGAAATTAGCCAATCAGCGCGTAGTGACGTAATCATGCTTTAAATCCATCTATGTCCCACTAACACCTCCCCTTTGAGAAGATTCGTAGGATCTGGTGCTAGGGTCCAACTGCGACCTGGGTGCCTTGCCACCCGTACTCTTACGAGCCGCCTGCTTTGTAGGAACCATATCTTTAAACAACCGTCGATCGGACTGCTTCCCCACCGATAAGTTTTGTTGAGGCTCATGAACAGCATATGGTATAGGGCGTCTCGGACGTGAAGTAGGTTTGGCATCTGCTTTCGCTGGTAGGTTAGCTTTCAGATTCGTACCGCGGCCAAGGCTATTCTGAGAAACAGAGGCTGACTTCCTCTTTCGTTTATCTTGTAACCTTTCACCTGTCTTCTTTTTAAGTATCGGGGTGTCCACTGATGAACACGATACGCTGCAGACACTGTTAATGGGTAAATCCATTATTCCCAGCTTTTCTAGCATATCTAGACCAAGAAGATCAAGGTTTGGCCGTTCTGTCAGATAGCATATACCTGTACATTTTGTTCCGTTGAAGGAAAATTCACAGTGTATCTCACCAACCAGTTTTAACACACCACCTGAAGCGCTTTTAACTGTTTTCTTAGATGGCTTCATTGGCGGTTTTCCCAGCGAGTTGTACGTTTCTCTAGACATTAGGGTGATATCTGATGCCGTGTCGATTTGGAAACGAGCTGATGCACCGTTCACCTGGATAGTAACATACTTTCTCCGAACGTCATATTCTGTTTGAAAAGCAGCTACGAGAGAAAGTGATTTAGACTCGGCTGATTTCACCACATGTCGAGTACGTTTGCGCTTCTTCTTGAGCTGAGACGTACGATTTGGTTGGCAATGGCCTTCTTTATGTCCACGTTTACGGCACATCTGACATTTATGTTTTTTAAATGGACAAAATCGTACGTAGTGCCAATCACCACATAACCAACATGCCGTCGTTGGTTTGTTACGAGATGCTATCGGCTTCTGGACTTTTAACCTAGTAATAGCATTGACACTACTGCTGGTTAAATTGTGATTTACCTGTTCAATCAACATGTTGTCGTGCCTGATACTTTGTAGGCGTTTACACTCATCTGTCAATGTTCTGAGTGTGACGTTAGGGTCTTGGTCCATTCGAATCAAAAGTCTAGTTCTGGTTTCAGCATCTTGCGGTGACTGAAGAGCTTTGATGAATATTAAGCATTTAAATTGGTCTTCCGTCAACGAGCGTAACTTGAAGCGTTCACATTCTCTGTTGACGACGTCTGCAAGAACCGCATATTCATCATCTTCGTGTTTCACCAGATTTAGACAATGATATCTAATACTAAACAATGATGCTGATTCGCCGAAAATATCTGACAGCTGAGTTACTGTCTCCTCGAAACTGAGCTCTCGAGGGTACTTCGGTAATATGTGGTCAGCGTAACGTTCATACTCATTGCTTCCCAACTTACGCAGCAACAACCGAGTCTTCCATGCATCATCTTGTTCACCGAATTCAATTCTAAATGTATCTTCCCAACGTTTGAACCACGTCAGAAAAGTATTTCCACATTCAGGATTATAGACGAATTCTGGTATGCTGTTAGCCACTGCTTCACAAGACGTATTTGAAACAGTATGTGGACTCGAACACTGGATGTTGAGCTGTTGAGTTAGGATCTCCAACAACCGCATTTGTGCATCTAATTGTGCTTGCTGTTGTTGTAGTATTCGGTTAAGCTGATCATCTGAAATAGGCATCTTGAAATTTTTTTCCTTTTTCTCCGTCGCCACTGTTGTAACGGTTGCTTACGATATTTCCCGGCTAAATCTTATTGCTTAGTATTCTTGACACAAAACACTGGACAAGTAACACAAATCAAAACACGGTTGAACAGGAAGGATTGTATTCCAAAATAGCAAGGAATAAGAAGCTGGAGGTGATGGCGAAAGCCAAGGCAAAAAGGCTTGAAAGCGAAGAAGGCTAGAAGGCTTGAAGGCAAAGATAAATACAATGCTAGTCTATTTATAGCCTTTACATGAGAAAACTTCTGGAACAAAATTCACGTGATCGACTGGGCTGGATTTGACCAATCAGCATGCAGCTAATAATACGAGAATTTTCTATCCTGTTCTCCAAGCTTCGATCAGGCGCTGATTGAATAGGAAATTAGCCAATCAGCGCGTAGTGACGTAATCATGCTTTAAATCCATCTATGTCCCACTAACAGATTCGCTGACCGGACATCAAAAGCAAAGGCACGAATTAGGAAACAGAGCTGGAGATGGATAGAAAACGCACTGGGGAAAGCACTCAACTGCGTCACAAGACAAGACCTCACTTGGAATCCTCAATATCAAAGGAAAAGAGGAACACCAAAGAACACATGAAGTCTAGAATCGGAAGCAAACATCAAAAGAACGAACAACAATTGGAAACAGCCAGAAAGATAATCTCCGGAAAGAGTAGGTTGGAGAATTCTGGTTGGTGCTTGACTGGGAGTAGCAGGCGTAAGTAATCATCCAGTTTTAAGAAAACGGTACTAGGTAAGGATGGCATACTAACTGACTAAGAGGAGAATCTTTGTTAGTTGGAGTGGTTGAAAAATGTGCTACCTATGCTCAACCATCGACTGACTCGACAAACGATGTTGTCTGATGTAGAGACGAGGTGGAATAAAGTTACGATCGGCCAAACCAAAACATAGCACAAATCCGACATGTGCATTGAGCCATGTCGGTAAGTGTAGACAACCTGGTTGGGGTGCGCGAGACAATAGTAACCGATGGTTAGAGACCTTAAATGACATGGCTCAAAATCATTCGCAATGGAACAGATGCACCATTCTTTGCCTTCTCTCAAATACTAATCCCCGACCGAAGCTGCTACCTTGACGTGGTGGTCGGGCTTGCCTATCGTGATGACCCAACCGAGCTATACTGGCTGGAACATATGTTCCTGCAGGTCCTACCATGCCAGGCTGGTCGATTGGAGAACGATGAGATTAAAAGCAGCTACCCAAGGTCTGAGGGCGAAGTCGTACTGCTGACTGCAGAGGGGTGTGACAGCAGTAAGGTGTTTCCCTCGGACAACCAGCATCTGCAGCGATGCTGCCTTCTCACAAGGAAGGAAGGGTTAGAAAAGGTCGGCCCTAAAAATGTCACACCTCCCCTAACTCACGGATTTCCGTCTCCTTGGGTAAGGGTGCCCACTAAGGGCCTTTAAGAACGGAGCTAATCCTCTAAATACCTCTCATAAAAAGGCCGTGCGTGACCGGCCTCAAGCAGTTGTCCCTTGGGCTCTGCGGTCACGCACCAACACTAATCTATCTTCCTTTTCAGGTTCCTCAAGAAACAACCTTCCACGGTGTGGGCAGCCGGGAAGTGACAACCGCCCTCATACCCGTAACAGCACGCGAGACCAAATTGGTCAAA